AGCAAATTGATACCTGAGAGACATTTTATGCAAGTTGAACTTGAACGAGATAGATACTCATGAAAATCACAATTAACGTGGAGGAGCACTAAGGAAAGAGAGGCAGGTGGAAGGCTATTAAAGTCACTGAGAATACCAGGGAAATGATAAAAAGCTTCGAGACTAGGAGGCTTAGAACGTGTTCGTGGAGGCGAAAAGGTGACAATTCGCGCGCGAGAGAGAAAGGACGAAAGGTCTCAAGGTCATGTTTCACATTACATCAAGAGCTTATGAGTCGTGTTTTGCCTGTCGGGCGCTAATTTCTAACTGAATCGATCGTTGTTTCTGTCAGCATTTGTGAAATAGCGTACACAGTCCCTCAAGAGACAATCCACGGATTCCAACAAATCCGTTGTCGGGGAGCCAACAACCACCACCACTGTGAGGGCAATGAATAAGGACCTAATCCCGGGACCTAATCTTGCTCGAAATCAACGCGGGCATTGCGGCCATGCTTGATTCAAACTGAAGTTACTTTTCAGCTCCATCGTACATGAAGGGGCTTTTTGCTGACGGTATAATTCGGTGCCTCTTATACGGTGACTTTCTGCGACCGCATATACCACATGCTTGTTTGTAACGCATATATATGAACTTTTTTGTGCGCATATATATGCGCGTTTGTAAGAAAATGGTCATATACTTGGGAATAAAACGCACGTATACGTGACAAAAAAACGCACGTATATCGTGTAGCAGGAATGATTGCAAGTATACGTGGGAAAAAACCGCACGTATATCGTGTCATAATTTTGAAACAAATGGCCGACCATAGAAAACAATAGTCCGCAGTTTGCGTTTTACACTGACCGGTTCAGAAAACTGGCTTGTCTCCGGGTAGTTGGATTTTCGATTTGTATGTATATGTCAATGTTATTTGTTTCTGCCGTTATTTGTGGTCCACACCACTGGTGTTACCTCTTATACCGGTACAAAGTTTCAGCTGAAGTTTACAGAGTAGCAATTCTGTTAATTTCTTCGAGCTGACTAATTGCAAAATAATAAAAAACACTATCATATCTTGGATTGCAACTAGGTGACAAGACGACCTTGGTTGACCTTACATATTAAAGTTTCTTTTTTGCAGAATTTGCATGAAAAAAGGGTTTTCCCAGCGGAAGGAAACACTTTTGTTCTCGTCAACCGACATAGCCGCCGTGACGTCAGCCAAACTAAAGACTGAAAGATCGAGTTAAAATAAAGGGTTGTTAGTTCCCAAACGCATGACTTGAATGCGTTTGAACGAATGCCATCGGTTCTGCCATAAGTTGTCTTGTCTTGTCAGTTCTAGCTCTAGCTAGGCGATTTTACACGGGACGATTCTCAACGACGATGGAGCAGGAAATTAACTTGAACACGTTTTAAACACATTTTTTAAATAACGTGCTAGCTAGGGTTTTACTTCCCAAACAACTTTTGATCTATAGCAGACCAAAATTGAAACATTCCCCATTGTCGCCGTACATTCCTGTATAGTTCGAAGTGGGGGAGGGGGGTGGTGGGGGGAGAGGCAGAGTGTAATGAATGAGTGGGAGCTTTCGTCATGTTTCAAGCTCTTGCATTCTTATTTCGAAGGTTACACTACCTTGATTGCCGACTTGTGGTTCTCAAAAAAAAAAAAACAACGCTGACCAAATTTACTTCATAGCCTATCTTGTTATTCATCTGAGCCATTGATTAAAATGGTTGTACTGGTTAATTTTAGTGTTCTCTCACCTGTGAAAAAGTCATTGACAACATGCATCAACACGGGTTCATGGATGACAACATATCACCGTTCCTGTCTTGAGTTATCAAACATATAGAGGTCTGTGACAGTGGTGATAATAATAAGCCGTTCCTGTAATTGAAGATGATTAGCAGATTGCATTAACAGAGTGAGCGAGTCTTAGACCAACGTGTACTGGCGTTGCGCAAGGCCAAATCTTTTATTACTGAGTCAGCAAGAATTTATAAAATAACTAAGATAGTACGCAGGCTCTGATTGGCTGAGAGGCGTGTTTGCGTGAGAGTATGTAAACATGGTTATGACGTTAAGATGTTTTGCTTTTCGCGCGCTAATCACGCAAGCACGCAAGGTTTTGAGTTGAAAAACTCGATTTTCCTCGTCGGAGGAAAGTCTTTAGAAAAATGCCGTGTCAATTTTTTTTCGCTTGAGCTGAGATTTTAAGAAAGAAAAACCGATATTTTTGAAAGCATCTTTTTTGCAAAACAAGGACTGAGTACGCGCGCGTACAAGCTTCGTGTACAAGACTTCGCGACTTGTAAGAATTTGTCTTTTGATCAGTGCTTTAAACAAGAGAGTTTTGCTTTTTTTCTCGGGAAAGTTATTTTATAAAAGTAATAGAAAACTCTTTTCCTGTGTTTGCATATCCCAGTATAAACACTCGTGGGGTTGGGAGAATTCTCGACAGTTACGCAAAGCCGAGACGAAGTCGAGGGTTGCATATCTGTCTCGAATTCTCCCAACCCCTCTCGTGTCTATATCAGGCTAGGCAAACACGGAAAACGTTTCCTATTGCTTAATTAGAGTACCAAACTTAATTATTATGCGCTAGTTGTAGGCAGTAGACATCCATGCGTGAAGCATGATGATTTATGCAATGTGCTTTTTCAGCACATTCCTCTTTCGGCTAAAGAGTGTGTTTTCGCGTGTGACGCGAGCATGAAGTAGTTATGACGAAGGAAAGCTGATGTCTGTAGCCGTTATAATATTATACTATGATCAGATTAACTGCTTTAGGTATCTAAAGCTGTTATCATACTTGTTTACACTTGCTCTGTCCCTTTAGACGAACGGTCCTACTAGTCGCAATATAAATCAATATTGGCCACATTGACCGTTTTTATGCTACAGTCGCATTATCCGTCTGAACGAACTTGGGCAAAAAGTTTTCACCCGTGTGAAATATCTTTAAAAGACAAGTGAGAAAACTTGCAAGGAATAGATAACAATCAAGATGAAATTATTCTTTCTCCACCCAGCTCTTTGTTTGTAATTAAATGTCTGGCTGATAGAAATTACGTCAGCTTATACAAATTTTTTAATGTTTGAACTCATGCACAGGAGAATGAAAAGTTATTAAACTATTCCCTCATTGGTCATCGACACTGCGAAACCAACAGAATTCAGTGATGAAAACGATTAAAAAAACTCGTGTTCAGCGGAAAAAGTGGGGTCTGATTCTAAGACACTTGCCCAAAATGTTGTGAGTGTCATGTCGGCGTTAGCTCTTCTCACCTAACATTTGTGACGATGATATTTCCTTTACGTTAAGTAAGTAAGTTAAGTAAGTGTCCAATACACTTATCGTCGTCTGTCAGAGGAAAAACGGCTTGGAGGATTTTTCGTCTTCAGGCTTTTTACAGATTACCGGTTTTCCCTGTTTTAATACTGGATGACTGATAAGAAATAAAACCCGCGAAAGAAAAGGAGACAATTCGATCAATTTATTGAGAGCTTACATACGTTTGGAAACTATCCGGTAAATAACAATTATAGTAACTGAAAAATGTTTATATTTCTGTACTTACTCCCTTACAAATTTGCGCCACGTTTTCCTCTTTACTCCGAAAGTTTGAAATTTGAGAATACTTGATCTGCTCTCCTGATCTTAAGACATCACTGTTATCATGTTATAAAACACTTAATCGATCCCGACTTGGGAGGCGAGTGTATGATATAGGGAGAATAAATGAATATTAGTATGGTGCAATTTCAGGACCGCGTGGGTGATGACCATATTTTCACGTGATCGTTTCTTTGTTTGAACTGTTTATCACACTGAATGCCCTTTAGACGGTACAATGAATTAAGATGGGTTATCTGTTGTTATTATTTGTCATTTTTTCTATTTTCCCGGTTCTTTATTAACTGGTTAAAGAAAACTTTCAATTCACAATTTGTTCAACTCAGCTTGTCCAAGCACCAAAGAGTTAGATACTGGCCTACAACCTGCTGATAACGGATGATTTTACCAGTGTCGTGGCTGAGACAGTTCATGAAGTATGAAAGATGTCGCGTCATCAAAATTTTTATAAACTTATCTCAGCATTCCGCAGATTCTGAGTGTGTGGGGGGTTTTCCCTTATTTTTGAGTCAGACATACAGTTTGTCGAATGTTAGAGAACTTACGTTGCCTCTTCTTAACCGAGGGAATTGCTTTGCTAATTCGCTGCTTCTATAGGGACTTTCCTCCTCAAAAGACTTTTGGTGAGTATAGTTCAGCAGCGGCCATTTTTTCGTTACTGGGCATGCATACTGAATGACGTGGGAATAGATTTAGCCTTAGTATTACCCGTTTCCTCTCGCCAATGTCATTAGTCAGCATAAAGCGAAAGAACTATTTCTTGATGATTTCTTTCCGTTTTTGCTTGACCAGAGTCCCACGTGTGACATCTCTTAACAAAAGAAAATTTAAAGCTAAATAAGCTAAGCTGCTTAGGGACAGAAAATTTAGTTGTACGCGCAACTTTATATCCGCAAAATTTGATCGGACATCTGTAAAGGCAGGCTTTATTTAACTTTGCAAGATAAGTACATTTTCGCCTCCATGTCTTTCTCGAAACACAGGAGAAAAATAAACAGCTTTCTGTTCTGCACGAGCCTGTATTAAGGTTTTTTTTTATTGTAGTACAGCAATGTATCTATACCTCTATACCGACCACGTAGTTAATAAATGCAAATTTAAAGTTTAGATTTATAGCATTCTTTTTACTAGAAATGTGCTCCAAAAATAGGCCACCTTTAATGGAGCTGCGGATATCTGTGGTTTTCAAACGTCATTGCAGTGCCGTCAATTGGCTCTGCTTTTGTTCCCTTCACAGTTGCGGACTATTAAAAAACTAGAATCAGTGCATAACATTTGGTGATGTTGGACCTCTGCCTTTTATAGGTCGGCTTTTGGGGGAGGGGGAGGGGGAGGGGAGGGTGCAGGCGAAAGGAGGCTGTGTTGTTGTGGTAGTAATGTTTTCTTTTTTTCAGACGGCCAGTTTTCTGGGCATATGTAATACAAAGCGGAAACAGTTATCCAAGCTGGTATTGCAGTATTTTTTTTTCAGGGCACCTGCGTATCTGATTTGGCATAAGTACTGAACAAAGATTCTGTTCGATGAAATTAAAGTCTGCCAACATGACTGCAATCTGCCGTGTGACCACCCCTCCAAATGGCCTCTGATTAACCCTTTTTTTCGCAGCACAAAAAAGGCAAAAAATTAAGCAAGGAAGAAGAACATTACCTTACTTAACTCTATCCCATGAAATACTTTTAGGTTGTGCAGACAGCGTAAAGCAATGGATACACTTCTCAACATAAGCCTGTTTGTGTTGCTAGTGCCTTTTTCCTGTTTTCATACGCGAGATTACATGGTAAGTTGTTTAAAATATTACTAAGTTAATCTGTAATATGCAAATGAATCGCCCATTACGTACTGACAATGGGTCCCAATGACAGTCGGCCCCATTGTCTCCCACGCAGATATCGGTGTCACGACACTCGCGAGCGAGAATATTCTGGTGAAGACAGAATGGCTTCCTGAAAGTTGACTGTTGCAATGAAAAGTGTTAAAGAGTGTCTTTGACTGAGGAAAGGCATGGAGATGAAAGAAATAGAAGACCAAAGCCTTAAACTACGGGCTAATATTCTTAACTTACAAAGTGAAAAGAAAAACTGAAACAAATACAAACGATTAAGGTTTTATGGGCATTTTCTTGCACCTTAACAATTTTCTCTTTCTCTAATTTGCTTACCGGGTATATCACTTATCAGATCTTCATTCTAGTTTACGTTAACAAAAGGGACCGAATTTTCTAGACGCCTCTTTAATAATGCCCCACGCAAAACACACGGAACTTCGAGAATCTCTTTAAATGATTAATTGTAAACGAAAGTGATATAATGTCATTGGCATTTTTAAAACTCACTTTCACTTTCAATATCCGGCTTGTCGACTTTCGATACGGGGTAAACCCCAACAGACCACGCAATGAGATCAAACAATGAGATCACTATACGTCACTTCCTGTTTTCGGGTGATTTGGCACACACAAAAAACAAGTCGCTATAGATACCATAAATTTTAGAGCTTGAATAAACCACAGCCCGGCCAGACTTATTAATCTCTCACGGTATTTTTCATCCTTTTTTTGAAGCCGTCAATCTTAGACTGCCAAAGACGTTTAGATGTCAAGTCTACGGAAAACTTTTCTTAATATTTAGCAGACGCTTTGTGTTTGTGAAATTAAAGGCAAACAGATGTCGCATTTAAATCAGGCTCTCTTTCACAGTAACGCAATAATTTTTTTTGTGGGCGGAAGTGACTGTAGTGAGGGCTCCAACCTCACAGAAAAACCGAGTCCCTGTAGGGAATGGGGGGTAAGGGAGGGCGTATTTTTCTCCCCTTCTCCTCTCATTTTCCCTGACCGAAGAAAACAGGTTGGGGCAGGGGGGCGAAGTTTGCCATTAACTAGTATAGGTTCATACTGCTGTGGAACATATTTTAATTTAAGGTTCAGCTAGGAGCCCTGGGCTCCTGGTTCAGCGACTCACAGCAAGGTTAGTACTGCAGCTCCCACGCTATATACAGGGGCACCCAATGGATCTGTTCCTCAAAATATCTGTTCTTCATGCAAATTTTTGCTGGCTGGGAGATGTGGAAGAAATAATAGCCCTTGGAAGGAAAGTATTGCTGGGAAAAAGATAATTCAGGGTGTCAGAGGGGATTTGAAGTCTAGAATAGCTGCTACGGGTTACTTGTATGGGTTGCTTACCACTCAAGATCTGAATTGAGCCCTATGAAACTTCCCAGTAAGTCAGGTTGCAGGTTGTAAGGTTGCTGGCTGGGAACTCTTCCATCAGTCTTGCTGGGAGTGAGGAACAGATAATGTTTTTCCAGCAATCTCCCAAAATGCTTAAAATAGTCTCAGAAAACTTTATTCACGCTTTATTGTTGTTTTTAGGTCTTTTTCTCAAAATTTTCCGTTGGGTGCCCCTGTATATAAACACAGGCTTCAGCTCTTTACGATTCTGAAGCGCGATCAGAAAATTTGATCCTGGTATAGGAAGGGGGAGATGCATTTGCAAGAAAGACTTTCGAGTTCCTTATATTTCAGTTCAGGAATAGTCACGTAGCCTTTAGTTGTTTCGCTGGACAACGCTTCTCCCCAAAGGAAGCTCGTGAGGACCTGTGCGTGACGGGCAAATAAGCTACTACATGCATAGGGGACTTCAATCTTGGACAGAGTAAACGGAATATTAAGACCACACTAACCCGAAATCAAAGGTGATTGATAATATGAGCGTTTTAGCCCTCGCGTGGCTTAATGTTTGATTCCGGTAAGGATGGCGGTGGGAGAGAGCGGGGCGGGCTTGATTTTCTAGTTTGTCGGTTCATGATTGTAGCTCAGGTGTTGGAAATGAAATTAACAGTGACATATATAAACTGAGGAGGTATCGCATTTGTTCTGCTTTGCAAGTGTACGCGGCAGTTTTGCTATCGTATTTTTTTTTCTATTGTATTATTTAACGAGTGGCCACGCTATGGAGCAACCCTCACAGCTCATAAGTATACTACAGTCTCAGTCAAAATTGTCGGGAGACTTTACTGTCTCCTCGCCCTCCCAATGTTGGTGTTCAAGATTTGGTGAGTTAAGCGCGATAAACAACATTCAGAGCGGGACCGGTAGAGCCTGGGCCAGAAGTAAAAAAAAGAGCTTTCGGAGGAAGTGTCCGAACTATTTTTGTCTGAGACTGTATATGTAATAATATTGCATTTGTTCTCCAGGAATTGAGTCTGTTCGTTTATTTTATTCGAACCAATTATTCGTCAGGTATCTGCCCAAAATGCACTACAAGGAAGGAGCTGCAGATGGAACCAAATTACGATCCTGAAACCAAAAGAAACTGAATGTTTCAATTGCCCGGAGTGTCCCGCGGGTCAGGGCCTCGTCCCACAGTGCGGCTCACGTATCACTGCTGACGTCAGTGTGGAGTGTGTTCATTGTCAAAAAGGCGAGAGTTACTCGGACAAGCATGATATATCATCATGTAAGCCATGCACAATCTGTGACCCAAATGAGGAAACCATTAGTCCTTGCACCGCGACGAAAAATGCAAAATGCGGGAAATGTAATAGTGGGTGAGTAGCGATATTCTGATAATATAAGAGTGATTCATGGTTGAGATTTTTTACAAAGGGCTCGTTTTCATGAGAACTGAGGAATTACGTTCATTTCGTTGAATTAATTTACAGCGGAAAAATGCGCGACTTCCAGTGTGCGAAACTGAATGAGTGCGAATCAGATTGTCATTCCCATGTCATTTGTACTGATAACCCTATTTCCGCCATTTTGATTCCTTGGCGCCAGCTTTAGTAACGCCAAATTTTTTTGGCTGCCATTGCGTATTTTACTAAATATACCTTATTCTAAACGCACGTGGACAGGAGCTCCTTACGTGTACACATTCTTTTGTCAAGAGAGGATAGGAAATTAACCGATACAGAAGGCTTATATGGGGCTCGCAGATAAGTCACTCCAACATTAGGCTACTGGGAGTTTTTCTTGTCCTTTTCAATGAGAGACACAGTCAGCTTTGGGACCGCGCTTACCTGGACACTAGTTTTGCAACTTTGAAAGGCGTTTACCTCAATCCTAAATCAAATACTCGTCAAATACATCTAGAAGACCGCTTTGATCATGACAAGTGTTTCATTCGATCTTTGGTATTTTACCGAAAACCTGTTCCTGTGTGTTCTTTTACACATCCCTCAATCACCATTTTATCATATTTGGCAATTTAGTTCTTGCGATATGAAACAGCTAAGAAACCGTAGTTAATGCGCAAATGCATCAGATGACTGTGTCCCTTTAACACCTCAACACACTTATTCAGACACATTTTTATGTTACCATATAGCTACTACCGAGCTAAAAGTGGCGACTGCCACCCATGCTCCTGGTGTTGTGCCGATAGCAAAGAAGGAGATAAAGAACAACAATGCATTGAGCAGACCAACCTACCTGTCAATCAAGTGTGTCGCTATGACGTCAATACCATCAAGTGTGCACCCTCAAAAGATAACTCCACTTCTCATGATCCTGCTACATCCGCAGTACCAAATCAAGCAGGCGCGGAAGACGACGTAGCCTATGGTATGGGATCCAAGAAAGAAAGCAACATCATTTTAGTGATTGCAATTAGCGGCTTTGTGGCTTTGGGCATCTGCATTTTGATTGGTCTACTGTACATTTGTAACCGGAAGAACGATCGTCCTTCTCATCTGACATGGGCAACAATACTTTGTGTAAATAGACATCGTAAGTATTTGTATCAATTCACAGTTTTTATAGCTCTTTAAATTGCTGCAATAATGAATGTATGAATTTCATATATTGGAACTGAGGAACGAAGAAATTAATGCAAAGAAAGTCGTCCCAGTTGCGGAAAGAGTGCCCTGACCATAGGCGTACGGGCCGGAGGGGCGAGGGGGGCTGCAGCCCCCCCAAATTTTGGGCAACTCATATTTTTTGGGCAGCGAGAGAAAAATTGGGCAAAGCCAGTTTTTTAACACGTTTCCGTGTTTTTTAAATCATTATTTTGAAGAGATAAATATTGTCTATTTTAACCTGAAGTTGGCGTAATAATCCAGTACTGTTACATTCACACGAGGCAGTGGTTGCCTAGCACGTAATGAGTTTCTGGTTATAAGGGAAGGGTATCATGTGCTGTTTTTTTTTATTGTTGGGCACTGTACTGCAATGGGCTATTTCCAGTCGTGAATTGATTAGAATAAACTTCCGCCTAACTTTCTAGAATCATCTCCACTCGTAGAATAGTGTATGGCAGATAGCATCAGCAATGGGTCTGAAAGTGAAGAAGTGGCTGACTAATTCTCAGTTTGAATTACGCGAAGAATCGTATTTTTTTTAACAAAAAAAAAAAAAAAAATCTATCGAGTGGTTTAAAGATTTTTCACTAATTTGTTAAAGTAGACCGAAATGTTTACCATACCGCTAACAAGAGCGCTATGATACATACTAAATACTCAAATCCTTTTTTGGCCAGAGCTATCTCCATTATCTTTTACCCACGTTTTTAAAAAGATTGAAACTACTATGAGGTGAAATTGCATGTCAAAAGCGCTTCGTTTTCTACAGATAACGGCCAAACATCAAGATTTTCCTTTTTTACCGTATTTCTAACGACAGAAACTTTATCCCAAAATATCTCCGCAACGCTCTTACAGATTCCGTTTTAACTTCACGAACATCGAGGCGACTATTGGAGGAAAATGCTTCCGTGAACGATTTTGAAAGAACAGTTCCCAGTGAGAAATGTTGCTGCAAGTATAATAGGTACTGGCATCATTTGGTTGCTATGACAACTCCGATGTTATTGCAACCCGGATCACAACAAATTTTCATCTTTATCTAATGCGACTGTGGTAGCAATTTTTCCAAATGTTTGTTTATGGTGTCGTAGTCTATGCTAAAAAAAACTTCACAGGTATTGACCCTGAAAAACTGTATCGAGCCACTTTCATATGCTAGTACGACCTATGTTGTTGCATTGTATGGCCCTCGTTTCTGTTCGACTGTTTTGTAAAAATTTGGGCAACTTGCAAGAATTTTTTGGGCAAATAGTTTACCGCCCCCCCTGACAAAAAATTGCCCGTACGCCCTTTGCGATGCCGGTGCAGCCCTCAAACCAATTGAGCTGACAAGCCAGCTGGTAAACTAATGCTACGACTAAACTTAAAAATGGCCGAGATAGTTGTCAACATTACTGTTTGCCAAATGCCGGGAGGCAAGCATTATAAATGAATGAAATTTGGGTTTTTTTTGTGTTGGTGACAGACCTGAGTTTCTTGACAGAGGGCGGGTTAGCTCCAATGCGAGGAGAAGCAAATGAACATTTGAGAAAAGTTCAATATTAACAATATTTAATATTGGCACAACAAGATAATCCAAAGGAGTAAAACCAGCCAATAATTACTAAACGTTTACCGCGTATCCACTCGATCAAAAAGATATCACTAATATTGGCCCAACTGATCGAGTCACCTTTGGGTAGATGTACCGGAGGCCACTGGTTTGGTTTTTCTCGTGGCATGGTTAACTGAAACCGTGGAAAGCTTACATCGCATTCTGCAAATTCAAGAACCTCAGAAAGTGTGGAGTAAATAAAGGTTACTAATGAGTTATTATATTTGTTGCTTTTACAGCAACCCAGGTTGTATCTACCGACAAACCACCATCACCAATTGTATTTGGAAGGAAGAAGTCCAGTACGGAACCACAAATGGTCTAGTATTAATCACCAACCTGTGACTGAATCAGGCATCAAGAGCACCTTGCACTGGAAAATATTATTCTATTGTTTGTTGATGTTTCGTGACAAGTTACCTTATACGGCTGTACATTTGTAACGCCGTTTAGTGAGAGGGGGAATGAGTGTCGTTCTGTCAATTGCCTGAACATGCGCATTAAGATAAGTCATTAAAAAGGACCTTTTTCTGATAGGCCTCTGAAAAAAAAAATCTAAAAACATGTTAGAGATCTAAGTGATAACGTCCAAGTGTTCGTAAATCCTTAAAACCTGTTTAATTCTGCAGTCAATAGAGAAAAGAAATGTGACGTCACGCGGAAGTAGTGAAATTATGGGACTGGTTGGCATATCCGGAGGGAACAAGATGTAAAAACCCCCCGTTGCCAAAAATTAGCCAATTTTGTGCAAACTGGTGGGGAGTAGCGTTATGCAGACAGTTCACAGTCCCCTATTTTTTCGCATGATCGTCAGGATTCAGCGCTTACAGGTATGGGTGGCCATCTTGGTTTCATATGTACCGAGGGCAATGGGTGTCGGGGTTTAAAGCGGTCCCGGCGACTTAAGCAGAATTGACACTCCTTCAAGATAGCGGTACGAAACCCGAAGCGCTCGATGTCGACGATTTTACGGAAAATTGGGGACTGTGAACAGTCTAAGCGTTATATAATCCATACAAATCTTTCCAAGATTAGCGTTTATGATCCAGGGCTATTTAGAAGGATTTATATGTAGTCAGCGGCGCATAACGATGCTGATATCTCCCCAACAAATTGCACTAACAGACCGATTTTTTGCAAGGGAGCTTTTTACATCTTGTTATTTCTTAATATGCCAACCAACTCTATAATTTTACAAATTTAGTTTTTGTGACGCCATCATTTCCTTCCTCTATAGGCCATGCCCGATTTCCAAACATCCTGCTTTTAAAATTAGGCCAAGTGCTTAACTTATGTCGAAACTATTTCTAAAGCAAAGACTTCGCTCTAAGGCAACTTGGGAATGGCCTGTTAAAAATACGTTTAACTACCTTTAAGAATGCGAAGTCTTCCTGGTGACAAGTTTTAAGAACTGTGCACGGGGGATATTGATGAGGACGGAAGAGAGACATCACATTGAAAGTTAAGCTGATAACATTTTAGTCCTTTACCATGTGGAATATGAACTATTACATTTTAATTGCCGTTACCGTTGCTTAATTCATAAGGAGTGTATCGCTAGAGTTTTTTCTATGAAATCTCTCAATATTTTTTCTTCTAATGATCCTGGCGTTCCTAAAGAACCATCCTTTATGCTTAAAATTACACTCGCTTTACTTTTACAGTAGAATTGTTAAGATACTCGATATTAATGCGAGGATGTAACGCATCCAGTATGACTTTCCAAGGAAATGGCAAGAACGGATCACAAAAAAGGACTGGCAGAAAAGGTTGTAATCATTTAGCCAGGAAACGAAAACGTGAATTTCAACTAAAAGGTCCAGAAATGAAGACATATCAAACACGGGGGGCGGTGAATAAAGGCATGGTGTTTTCTATCGCTTAGTAGTCACCGTTGTTCTCCTGTCCTCAGATAAATTGAAATACAATTAAAATATATTTTTCAGTCGCTTTGAGCCTTGTTTAAAACACGTTAAATAGTCATACACAAACGTTTTCTCTGGATATAACTATATATATAATAACAATATAAAATAACAATATATGTAACTATATTGAAAGGCAGCTCCCCGGAAAAAAGAGCATCCTCAGACAAAGAAAGCAGCAGCAGCAACCAACAGGAGATTTAGATTACATCATTAAACGTCTCTATTGAACAAGCAAAGAAGTGTTCGCAAGATAATTAAGGTTGGCTTCGCTGCATTGGTTGACCGTTTATTGGTCAATGCAATGTATTAAAACGAGACTAAGACGCAACTGTGAGAAGTTTTCTATATTGGTAAGTATGTATATCAGCTATTCATTAATTACTCTTCAGTCAGTAAAATGTATTGTATTTCCTATTCCGAAAATAGTATATTCTACATTTTGCTCTAAAATAGCAGTTCTCCTATAAATCATCTTTTTATTTTTCATTTCTTCGTACTTTAAAATCATGGGCCAGGTGAGACGAGGCCACCATTTAAACGTTTTCTTCTGGAGTATGGAAAAGGAGATTATGGAGAATGGCGACTGTAACGAGGAACATGGCATAGTCTGAGATATATTAAAACTCTACGCAGTAAATCTTTCTGCGATTGCTTTGGGATTTTATTCAATGGTAATTGAATGCGTATACTTATTGTATATTTAGAATGATTCATGTTTTAGGACATTTAATAGAGAGATTCAGAGTCACGTGTACGGCAAACGGCCAACTTGAATTTGTACCACGTGACCAAGTTTTCTCTTTGATTTTCGTTTACAGTTTATGACCTCTACAAAAAAAAGTAGTTTCACGCCATTTTTATCCATAACAATTGTTTTGAGCTGTTTTCATCCGCTCATTTCCTATTTTGAGAATTTCTCAACTTGAATCTGGCGTTTGCCGGTTGGCGTTAATGCGAGTCTACATGTCTCTAATCTCTTGATCAGTTTTTATAAATTTCTCTGAGAATGCAAAGTATTTGTAAATACACCTAATAAGTAAGTAGTACCATGTACGTGTTTTTAATTTAAGCTTTTAAATAAATATTTATGAAGAGGCTTTGCTATGATAATAGTAACTGATTTTCAGACCCCAGTTGTACTAAGCTGAGTCAATCAGTTAGGATGTACAGAAACGTTGAATTATACTCGTTAAGCCTAAAATTTGGCTTGCCTGCCATTGACACTAGAAGAAAGCTCCGACCAACAGGAGCACAAAGTAGAAACACCTTTGTACCTGCTTTGAGTTTAAAAAGCCGGCTTTCGAGCAACAGGACCCTGATCGATTACTATAAGAAGCTGTCTAAGTAGCTGAGACTGGTAACCAGACGGCACAGAAGTGACCTTAATGCACATGGCATAGCAACCTATACATGGTATTTTCGGTAGAGAGCTGGAACTAGCTTAGAGTCAAGGCTACTTGGGCGTAAAAAGATTGCAAGCATGAATAAGTAACTAACGACTAAAGGCTAGTCCCAGTTCTCTACAGTAAGTATGGATTATTCGGTCAAAAAATAACACGGAAACGACGTGAATGCAACATGTGACTATGAGAATGGCATCGTCATTTACCTAGTCTACATTCAGTGACTGCTGGCTTCATTAACGCGCAGGCTCAGTTACATTGAGGGCCTATCTATGCCACTTGATCAGCGACCAAAACTGCACTTTCCCCATTTTGCCTGATGCACTTTTTGACCGTGTCCATGGCTATTTTCAGTCTTCTATCGATAGCTTTAAATTGAGGCTCTGAGAGAACTGGCGCCACAGGATCATCTTTAGTCGCTTGACGCAAAAGTTCACTTAAAGGAATCCTCTGTCTACTTAACGATAAAAAGCGATTCCATGTTGACTTTCGAACTCTGTAAGACAAAAACAGTCACGTTGACATCTAATTAATAGTAATTACTCCTGCGCTAGCTAAGAGTTGACAATTCGTGAGGTTGTCCTTACTTCTACGAAAATTGCTACTCCTTCCCTTTCTACTGCTCAAGAGATTTTGACAAGAAATTCACTCTGGTCGAGTCTCCTTCCATTCCGTTTACGTCTTTTTACCAGTAACGTACAAAAACGTGTGCCCCATAATCAGAAGCTCATGATTCATAAATTCCTCCGAGATGGTTATGACGGGCGACGATTGAGCCATTCAAGTGATTGGTACCCATTAAAGTGCGTGGTCCGTTTCGAATTAAAAATTACCGCTGAATACAAACACAAATTACACACTGTTACTGTGTTAGCCTCTACCTAAAGCAAAATATTCACAAATAGCAGCAGAAAGGTGTCTCAAATTTGAAAATGAAAAATAAACAAGTCATTAACCTGAGATCAGGCCCAATTTTAGGGGTTCTCATACACTCTCTCTAACGGAATGTAATTTTCAAAGCGAAACGAAAACAGAGCCTGATCTCAAGTCATTGTATCGCCGGGATTTATGAATATCTTCACTTCAGATAACACGCTTAAGTCCTGAAAATGCGCCTTCGCTATTTTTACTCAGCGGGTCATGGCGAACTCATAAACTGGACTACAATCGAAGCCCTCGTAAGCTACCATCTCGGAAATTCGAAGTAGCGCTCGTAACTGGAGCTGGTCGTTTAGAGAGCTTTAGAAACTCATTAATAATTCATAGAGAGGAAAAAAAAAAAGAAATTTTTTAAAATGTTTAATAAGTGTCTTTATATCTGATAAAAACACCCTATTGTCATGTACGGTAAAAAATGATCTAACGATGAAAAGTCAGATAAGAATTAATACAAGTAGTGCTTAAAGCCAACGTGACTATTTCCTAGAACAAAGGTCCATCAGCTTTAAACTATTCTTTACAAACTGCAACGAAATGATCTAAATAAACGTCAAAAAGTTTTTATTGACTTACTTGCAACATTGGTACACTGGAGCAAGAATAGACATTTCATCATGATAAGGGTTACCAAAGCTTGAGAAAAAAGAATGTTAATTAATCACAGGACGTCAAAATAGTACCGTAAAGGGAAATTGTTTTTTTCCTTGCAAAACAACAACTCTAAAGCGAGTCTTATGTGAGGACGTGAACACGCGACGACAGTTTTCCTTCCTCGTTTGAACTTGGACTGAGGCCCTTAACAATTTGACATAAAATATACAGGGGCATAGCGCGAGGTTTTGAAGTTGTACGCGCGGAAAGAAAGGTTGCACCTCCGAAGGTACTGGAAACTAGGGGGGTCTGGGGGGCATGCTCCCCCGGGAAATTTTTCAAATTTAGGGGATCAGAAATGCATTTCCTACATTTTCCGCAGGGCATTTTCAGTAAAGGAAAATGGCTAATGCAATAATTAGTTGTTTAATTTTCATCTCTTGTGTTATCAGTAAGGTACAATGTTTGCGGTAAAAATGGTAAAACAGAGACGCCATCAATGATTTTGCTAGCAAAGGGCGAGAAGTCTGCCCTACAAACGGGTAAATACACCAATGGACACTACGCATCTGTATAATATATGAACGGATGGAATGACTTAAGACTGACTAAGCACTGTTTAATAGAAACCAATAGTTACCTCTTTGCATTATCAAGGTGTAACAACATTCCGCTAACACCTTCATCTCTAAAGGTCTCATAATGATGTCTGTCTCCATTCCCTAGGGAGGGCTGATAGAAGAATATTTACTCTAAGTTGCTTTATTTACCTAACAACTTGCCTACTATAATTCAACCAGCCTCGAAACTGATTATATACCCCTCGTCCTTAGAAAAAATGCCCGTCAAAGATACGGCAATTGCAAGTTCCGCATACAATGCATCAACTAAAGAAGTACTACTACTCAGTCTGTGAGGTACTTTGAAGCAAACATTGACTTTTCTAACGAGTGACCTGTAGAAGCTGTTTTGAAATACAAGTTGGATACATAATAACACACTTGGCCATCCTTAATGGTTGGATTTTCTGTAGTCACTGCAAAGGCTCATAGCTAGCGGTCGTACTGAACTTCCCCTTCTTTTGTACCTCAAACTTTCTCGATTTCGCCTGATGCCTTTTTGAGTTTCTACACCATGCGAGCAGTTCAAGGGTAACACAACAATAACAAAACTTACAAACCTATTAAAAAATCAAACAGTGCTGTGTCCATGATATCAAGAAGCCGAGGCCCAGAATTATATGGTGGAGTTCTTAGCACCTTTTTCTTGCAATATGTGTTGTCCACCTCCCATCTAAACAAACAGACAAACAAAAAAATGCATTGAAACACTTTATTGCCAACAATATCTCTCAAGTTACAATACACGAGCCACGTTCGCTAACTTCCCATGGATTCCCGATCCAGGTAGTGAGTCCGAATTCTTGTCAATAGAACTTGGATTCCGGATTCTTATCTTTAGTGGTATACCGGATTCCTTGGGCAGTATTCAGGAATTCTAGGACCAAGGATTCCGGATTCCACAAGCCAGAATTCCCCGGTTTCGGGGATCCACATTTCCCTACATGGGGCGATATAGGACTTTCATAACTGTTCAGAAAACGGCCAGTGAAGGCTGGGGTTACCAAATGTTTTTCCAAGAGAGGCTATAATATATCAACAATGCGAGGTATTTTACAAAATCTTAGCAATCCAAGAAGATTTTCTTATTTCTCTCACTGCCAAAAATACTCATTATAAAACATACCTTTCATGATCATAAGTAGGACTTTCTAAAATTATGTATATTATTTAATTTTTATTTAATTACTTTATTATTTTTTGATGCTTAATTTTTGTTGATTGCCACGCGTGTATTGTCTGTGGGTATCAAATGAAACCCTCATTAAAAGAAAGTATCTATCTGTAATGGACCGGAAATGTTAGTTTTTTTCTAAAGGGACGGAATTTGACAAAATTTGGCTTTTTAAAGTTAGTTAAATGTTTGGAGTTCACAATTCACTGCTTGTTCTAAAGATTTACGATTTTTATTGGCATATAAAATATTAGTATCATAACCGAAAAGATAAAGGTTGCGATTATTTGCGCAGCTGCAGATATCACGAATAATACATTATAAAGCAAAACAAAGCAACGGGCCTAATACAGATCTGAAAACCGCAAGTTGTTACGACTCTTTCAGATATATAAGAACAACTTTGTGTCGTTTGTGTTCGGTCTCGAAGATAAGACAAAAACCATTTGGTTATCATTTCACGAAACCCATAATAGTTAAGCTTGTCAAGAAAGATTGTATCGAAAACTTCTTTTAGGCGTATACCTTGTAGACGCGACACGAATATAGGCGTGTTTCCATATTTGTTTGAATAGCATTTACGAGGTCAATACAATTGCGTGTTGAGTATTGAGATGGGTTTAATATCTCTTTTCTGTTTGTGAAAGATTTCATTTTTTGGAAAACATTTCTGTTGAAGTTATATCGTAAAGAAATTAACAGGTAGTCATTTGGTTTCAGTCTTGTCTTCTCAGTGCTTTTAAAATGGGTATATGATTTTGCACAGTTTGATATTGGTGCGGGATAGGATTACTGGAGGCCATGTAAATTATAATTTGGAATACCGGTATATTACATTTCTAACCGAATTTCACTTAACACGATAGGTTAAAAGACGAAATTAAAAGAGGAATCGGATGGTTTAACTTTCCTAAGGAAATCGGTAAAGTAAGTCCGTGCTGAGGGTCTAGCTCTTGCTAATCTCTGCCCTACTGCTGTAAAGTGGTCATTGAGGATATTAGTTCATGATCAGGGTCAGGTCATGGGTGACTTAGTTTTTGTAATCCGGCCTTATTACTAGGGCACTGTAATTAATAGATTTGGACTTTTTCGTTTTCACGATTTCATAATTTATGTATTCCTTTCCAAGTCTTTTTATGTTGTTTAAATTCCCATTGAAGTACTGATCAGAAAGAAAAACAGTTTTTTCTCATAAGTGTCGAGCTGCAGATATTATTTCTATATAAATTATATTTCGTGTCATTGCTAGATATATCTAGCCTTTTTAAACTTTAATCAAAGGTATTTGAGTTCTGATTCCTATAATTATCTCAGTTTTTTTTAGCTCCGCGTTGCTGTATAGAAACCGGTTTCCATAGGTACGTGCTTGTTCAACAATTTTGTTGAACTTCTTGTAAAAAGAGGACAACGTCTTATCAATTTCATCAAATGCATCATTGCAAGGAATGTTAACCCCACTCAATTTGGGAGAGGTCACCGTTAAAATGGTCCGCGAAAAATCAGGAGTATATAATCGCCGACATTATTTTTATGAATCTTCGTAGGTCTTTCTCAAGTTTCCACTGATTTTGACTCGTACAGAATTGTTTACAAAAATATTGTGGATAAGAATGACAGAGGAGGTGCTGGTTAATTTTTTTTGCTTGGGTTTTATATAGTGCACAAGGGGAGAGGACGCCTCCGCTCCTTTTCTCTACTCATGGGTGCACACATTCTGGAAATTTATCCCTTTGCGCTAACAAAATGGCTACTGCATTAACATTAATTTTGCCAAACCAAAAAATCCTCGGATAAATTATTCAGTTTGCATAACTTCGATCGATTAAACACAAGACCAGATGAAGAACTATACAAAAAATAATAATAGTCTATCGAATCAGTGTATTCATAGTGATATTTTCCCCTCTTAATTTTCAAGGAATGAAAAGCAATTTGAGGAAAGATGAAATTGATTGCAGCTGTTCAATCTTCTGTATTAGTAGTATAAGTAACATGTTTTGGATGAACTTAATTTCCATTTCAATATTTTTCGATGCCCTTCTTACAGCCCCATAATACTAGGCTATGAATTTGAATAATTTTCCACGCCTCTTGGCTCCGGAGATGCTGGAATGTTCATTGATGAAATATTGATTTATATAGACATAGAAAAAACCTCTCATCTCATTTAGCATTCCAAGCCTTCTGGATTGAAATTTCTTTTATTTTTCAGAAAAATGTAATATTTGCTGTCGATCTATAGACAACACAATTCCAAAGTTATTTTGAAACTATAGAGAAATTAACTTCATCTGGAAAGTGCAATGGCTCTCACATTATGGGATATTATTACGATTTCTTAATAGTTTCTCTCTAAATTAAAGCTGTTTATATCTCATTCCTTACTGTTGATAAACCAAATGACGTTTATAATTATCTTTCCGGTATCACCTCAACAAAAGCCTTTCTTTGTGCTGAGTTACTCACACAAACAATTGTGATAAATAAAGGATATTGATCAAGGGTATTCAGTGGTCATCACTTTGATCAGTCAGATAGGCCTTTTGATTCCTTCAGCCTCAAGATGACCAGTTATAGTGGAATGCCCCCCGGACATCCCATGTGTTTATCTACACAAAATGTGACATTAAGTTGACTAAATTGGCATTTTTGTGGGTACACACACAGACTGTAATGGTCTATAAATAAAACCCTAGTCAGGTTGTTCAAAACTGGGTTAAGATAACCCAGGGTTAGTGCAACATTTGAAAGCAAATGCCGTGTAATTCTTTTATCAATTATTTGATGATTGGATGCTCTAAAAAGAAAAGAGAACATTATCTGAAAATATAAATCTGAACAAAAGAAAAAGAAAGGGCCTTCAAGCAACTGGGCCCTGTCTTTTAAGTAATTATTCACCAACAAACATTGAGCCACCTCTGGGAAGTAAATTTCTCTTATCACTTCAAACAGATTCACTTTAAATTGAACATGTATCAACACAGATTGTCCCACCAATGAAAAGATTACAAACTTAAACAGAGCTAATGTAAATATAAGAAGTCCTACTTACAATGCCTTTCTATCATCTCGGTATGTCCTCTGCCATGGATGTCTCCAGTTCTTGAGGGGCCAGCCTGCTGGAAGCCACAGCGTCACGGAGCCCTCCATGACTGTACCATTGGCACATGCAGCTTCAGCTTTCTTACAGTAATAACATACCCCATAGAAGCAAGTGTTTTTACCTACAAACATTTAACACTCCATTTAATTCAGATGTCTGGACAACATAATTAACACACTATTTTACGCAATAATTTTTCTTGCCTTCCTTGAAGAAGGTATCCATAAGTCTCTTCTCTCCAATCGGTTCTATCTCTTCTTCTAAGTTGACTCTTCTTCCAGCTACGGGGGGAGCTCTGTAGAATCCTAAAATTCTGCAAAAAACATTTCCTTACATGAATACCCTGATATGAAAAGCAGACGAGAACTGTTTAGTGATAAAAAAGTTACCAGCAACCCACATAGCCTGTGTCACAGATACAATCTAACACCAGTTAATAACACCTGTGAAGCATCACCAAGATCCTTGTTCTGGGCCCCTAACAGACTCTACTAATTACTGGAAGTGCATATCATTTTCCCTTTCACCTGATTGGCAAACCAGAAATGCGATTTTTAACAGGCCAATCATGGTGCGTACTTATAAACACTTGTAAACAGGCAGGGGGTTTAGAACAAGGATTTCAGTGCTGTCCACTGCCCACCTGACAGCTCAAAGTCCAAAAGTTAGCACAGGAATTGATGCGACAGGTGGGTAGAAAAATGGAAATTTGAAACTTTTCCACATTCATTTTCTAGTTGTAAAAGCAAATTGTCAATCTGAGATTTGGAGCTCACTGGCCATTTAAGAAATTAAATCGCAGATGGAGGGTTAACAACAGCACAGGAAAAATATTTGACTTTTGGTGCACTGGATTATTAGATCTTCTTTTCTCTGCAAAATTAGTTACATAGCCTGAAGGTAAAAAGAGGACTTCTTAATGCCTGTGGGAGCTCCAACACGAATGTTAGGGGTATATCCTACCCAATGCACTGGCACTGCTTGGCATTGTGCATGAAGAAATAAAGAAAGCAGATCAGGTTTCATATTCCAGTTTTCTGACGTGAGTATCCCCACCGTTTAATACAGAGAAGGAGCTTGATATATTGTGTTGTACCTGTCTAAATGGAATGCTGCTATTTCTCCATTGTGTCTGTCAAAACCTTTGTATGGAGGCCCTTCTATTACATAATCTCTAGAATACCTGTTGAGAACAATATTGTGTTGGTCGGTTATCCTTTGAACAATAACACAAGTACAATGATTTGTATGGTAAAAAACGATTGTTTCTGTAACCCACAAACATAATGGAGATTTTCTTAAAAAAGTAATGAAAACATAAAAGATATATAAGTGACTGTGATCTTTTTTCCTGTATGGTCCCAAACTGGTTTGTGGAATCCTTATTTTTTTGAAGGCTAAGGTCCGGTTCAGAAGCCAAACTTTTCATGAGCTGAACCTTATTTGAATTAAGGCCAACCCAGATTATTTAGACCGGTTGAATTGATTCAGACGCCGATCTTAATTCCAGCCAAACTAAATTCAATAGTTAAAAAATGCTCATTTCGGTCAAACTTCTTACAAAATACATTATAATAATTTATGAAAAGTTCGGCATCTGAATCAAAGCCGTTCTAAAGTTGCTCCAAAGGTGAAATTCCTTGCCAGGCTAGGTGAAAAGAACAGCTGAGCCATTCCAAATTGAAATAGGCGTTTCTAATTATTGATTCAGACGCCGAACTTTTCATATACTTAACTCAATGTATTAGGTTTGGCTCACGAAAAGATCAGCGTCTGAACCGGGCCTAACACCACAGTGCCAACACTCATATTTTGAGCTTGGGTAAGTGATTTGTAGAGGACATTTTTTTGTAGCTGAACACTATTTCAAGCACTTATGGTAAAACTATAAGAACTTTGACTTGAGCAGACTCACCGCATAGGCTTGAAGACAACCCTCTGATTTCCTTCAAGGATTAAGGAAGCCTTTAATTGTGTTCCCCCATGCCCCACCCCGGCTGCCACTATGGGTTTGTAAATCATTGCCTCTAATATCATATTTATTGAGTCACTATCATTATTTGAGGTGATTTGACGAGATTTCACCATGTCTTTCCATATAGTCCACGGATCATCGTATTCATAATCTACGTCATTAACAGCGTCCTGTCGCTTTAATTTGTTTCCTTGTTCGGCGTCCACGTCGCCTACATACTTTTCGTCTCTGTTCTCCAAAGATATAGATACGCTTGGCTTTATATGACCTTTTCTTTCTGAACGCGACGTAAGCATTTGCTCGTTCGATCGCTGTTGCCGATGCGTATGATCCACTCTATTAAAGTCCATTTCGTCCATAAGAGATTGTGTATCGCTTACAGAGAGAATAAGCGGGTGTTTATTCTCATCCGAGATCTGCGATCGCAGCCATAGAAAAGGCACAAGAAGACAAACTAAACACATACAAAACGCGAATCGTTCTTTCAACTTCATAGTCCCAAAATACGCTCGATAAAACACGGAAAGAGGCCAGATTTCCACCATATTAACGGGACACCATCATCGTATCCACTGTTCTTTTATCCTCTGCTACTGTTTTTACCAGGCGTTGTAAGTAATTTATGAATTTACGTGTATGAGCCCGCGCGCAATTATCCGTGTTAGGGATGATGGGGCAGAACTTTTAGGAACGGATCTCCTTCCGTCTATAGTCCAAATAGAAGTAAATATTAAACATATCCTTTCTTGTAAAAAGACATTTAAAGTAAATTTATAACGAGAAAATCTAAATTAAAAGGGGTTTGTAACTTATGACGTGTAGGGAAATTTAAAAACCTTTCTACGATTTTATAGCTTGCAGATGCATGCACCTATATTTTTTAACTGAAAACTTTCCTGTCATTACGAGTTGGTATAAGCTAAAATTTTTTGAAGTTTCAGAAGTAGGTAAAATGTTAGTTGTGTCTCTTGCCCTAAAATTGCCGGTGTAGGAGTCTGTTCCCTACCGGGCCCCCAGGCGTGTCAAAGTTGGTCTCCCGATCCACTGCTGAGGTTAAGTGCAAATGTCGTGTCGCATTTAACTTTCACTCCACCCCCAAAAGTCCCCCCCTCCCCCAGCCCCGGCACGAACTTCTTGACTACATTTTTCTGACCAGCGGTTGCCTCTAAGAGGGGTGAGAAATATGGCGGACAAAGTAAAGAACATCGAAGAGTGTATTTCGACAGCAAGTAATTTAAGATCGACCGTCAACAGAGTGTTTCAAGATCTTGCTTCTGATACTGATGTAGCGAGTCAATCGACTAGTGACGCGACTGATCTTTCAGCTGCGGGCAAAGGAGCGAAAATCACTCAAACATTGAAGAAAAATCTTGTAAGCGTGTACAAAGTTTTGAGGTAGGTAGTGGACACATTGAAAGTTTGGCTTACAGAACGCCCATAAATTAAACTTCTGCTCAATTTTTTGGTACGATTTTTCCTTACATCTATTGTGCATGCAGCAATGTGTAATTATTTTACACAAATAGTGAAAATTTTTGGCTGGTGCACCATATACCAAGTGAATAGCAAGTCTCAAGTGACGTCACAAAGATCACAACAATGATCCCTTGCCCTTACACAATAACCTAATAAAATTCACACAATAGAATGACACAATAGTGCATATTTTGACTTGCTTTATCACGCAACACCCTAATTTATATTGACCTTACAATACGAGCCCTGCATTATATAGTTGCTCCATAGACCTATTCAGCTAAGGGGGTGTTTACATGAGAAAACTTGCACTGGCACGAGTTTCATACCTGGATGAATTTTTTATTTCGTATCGTGTTTGCATTATGACTGGGTCATTTCATATCTCGTTATTTGAAGGTACACTTCGCGTTGATAAAATACATGTAAGATTCAAAATCGCAAACATTACGAATGTGCTACCCGTTCCAGTCTACCGGCAGACCGATTTCACACCAAAACGTGTTTACTTGATACTGTTGCAAGATTTCGTACCAGAGTGAAATTCTCGCGCCGGTACAACGACCGGGATGAACTCATGCCGGGGTGACTTGCGCCGGAATGACTTTTGTGGTGGTATCATGTAAACAAATGTAGAGCCATGAGAGGGAACTGGTGCAAACTCACTCTGGTGCGAGAGTTGCCCCAGTGTCATGTAAACAGGGGCCCGTTTCTTGAAAGTCCCCGTAACTTTTCAGACCCGAAATCAAATATTCAAATCGAAATGTAAAGAATAAGAGCGCTGGTCCTGGCTAGCAGACTACTCCATCTTGTTTCACTAACTGATAGTTTTATCATGCTAGATGCAAAACCATTGATACCTCGATCTTTAATGTAAATGGAGACAGCTTACCGGGCCCGTTAATTATCGGGACTTTCGAGAAACGGGCCCCAGCTCCTCACTTAATGTTATACCCAATTCAAAATCCTTGGGAATAAAACATTTTGTTTCAGGTATTTCCATATCATTTAAATGTGAATGTTACACAGGATATAAACACTGCTTGAGAATATTCCACGTGTATTTTGCTCATGTGTTTCCTTAACTTTTACAACTCTTGAGTTCGTAACGCCGATTACTTTTCTTGCTTTTTTCGCACATGGTTTTTTTCTTACGTCATCAAAACGTGATATATGGTTTCCAGTCCTTCGGCACACGGACGCCTGGCACTAAATAGAAATGCTTTTACTAAAATGAAATTTCTATGCCTAACATGAATACCACATTATAATGCAAATACAATACACAAAGAATCTTAACCCTGGGAGATTTGAATTGGGTATAACATTGAGTTAGCCGAATAGGTCTATTTTATTTGACATAACTGTAGACTACAAGGTCAATGTTCTAGGTATATTGGTTGAGGCAGCTCAGCAGCATGGCAGACCTGAATTATTTTGATAAATGGTAAAACCAGTTGCTACTGAATAGATTCGAAACATTTATGCATAATAGATGTATGGCGCTGAGTACAAATCTTACATAAACCATGTTAATTTTTGGGGGCATGGTGGCCAACCAGATATGGAAGCCTGGGTCCAAGCCTTGCTGTCATGCTGTTTCCTTAAGCTGAGTAACTTTGTTTGACGTTTTTTCTCTTCAGTATAAATGTGTACCTGCAATCATACTGTTGGGGGTAACCCTGTGATCGACTGGCATCCCATCCATGTGGTAGTACAAAGTAGAAATACTCCTAGATGCCTCAAGCTATAAAAAACCGGAATAAGCTCCCCCTTTTTCCCCTCACATGCAGACTTATCCATTCTTCTTTTTCTTTACACCGGATCCTTCCTACTTTTTGTCTGTTTTGTAGTTTTGCATCAGTCAAATTCAACTGGTCTGTTACTGATTTGTTACACTTTCTCTTTCCAAACAGCGAGTTGGACAAAGCAAGTGATGCACTGGCTTGCTCAGAAAACCGCTCCCAATCTCTGGGGAATACTGGCTTATTGAGCCTGGACCCTGTGGAAGACAGAACTGCCCTCTATGACAAGCTTCTAGAAACCTACGACTGGCATGAAAAGGTACCTTATGAATTATAACTAAGATTAAGGTGATTAACACATTTTTGTAAAAAATGTACCTGATAACTTAAGGAATTACTGTAAGTTCGTAACACACGTTATACCATGCGTAAAAAATGTTTGCAGATTAAGGTTTTGTTCTTATACATAACTTTTATTTTTCAACCAAGCACAACTTCAGTATTTTTCAGAAACCAACTGGAGAGTAGATAGAAAGATAAGGATATGGGGAGAAATGTTGTTCTATTGTTGAGCCTTGGCCAATCACTGAGGAACCAGTGAATTCCATGATGATGTTGTTTGATGACAACTACATGTACCAGGATTCATTTTGTTTTTGCTCTGTTATTCCAATTAGTAATTAATCCAAGCAAGGTCTAATTACATGTACATTTTGTGCTTTTATTAGTAATGTAGTAAAAAGGGCTCCAAAGAACTCAAGGAAACAAACACTGGGTGGATTATCGAGTAGTTTTTGTCAAAAAAACTCATTGTGAAAAGGCTTTGTTTTAACAAAACCACACTCTAAGTCATTTTCAATTTGCCCAACAATTTTATCTAAACATCATTTATTGTGAACAGTTTTATGAAAGCATATAGAGAAGACTGGAAAAGCATTTATCTTCTTAAAACAACCCACCAAAGAAGAGATCTGGAGTTTCAAATATTCGGTAAACCGTTGCTTAAGTTAGACTTTGTTTAAATAAAATTATTTGGTCCTATATGTTTAGAAAACTATATATAAATTTCTGATATTAAGCAAGCAGCAAATTTAACCTCTATTTAAGGTTGGTTTTTGACCAAAGTTCAGATTCCACTTTCAAAGTGATGGCTTTCTTTTTCCAACTGCAGAAGTTGTGTCCTAAACCGCAAGAGTGCATGGATCTTCTTTGCATTTCTTTCTTCATCCCTCAGTTCCAATTATATGTGAAATTCGTATATTCATTGTTTCATATATAATGTTTTCATCAGTTGACTTCAGAGGCACAGCAGGTTTTATCATGCCTAAAACGACATCATCCTTCAGCAGTTCAAAGTTCAGATGGAGCCTCAGCAGCAAAGAAAGCCAAGGTCAATTTAAAAAGGTAAGGAATGTGCTGAAATACATGTTTTTCACTAGAATGTCATAAATAATTGCCACATACCAAGGCTTGAAATGCATTTAGCTAAAGGTTATGCAAAATTTTTAATGTTCAACAGCACCACCATTATTGTGATGCGTGAAAATAATAATGAATAAAATGCTCATTTAAAGTGCCAAATAAAAACATTTTCCACCCAAAGTCAAAGAGTGGGAGCAAGGCTGTGTCCACTGTTTGGGTACCTATTAGACGACTGAGTACTAATCAACGGGATATGAATTGATTTCTGTGTACGACGTAACCCGTAACTGACTTAGCTTTTTGGTCAAGATGCCTCAGTCCATAAAACCAGAAAAAGAGTAGGTACATGTTTCTAAGAAGTGTATTCTTGACATCTTGACATTTTCGTGACGTTTTTTTATTCATTCACCTTTCATTAGCGAAATATTAAATGCCTTAAAAGAATTCAAGACCTTGTATCCTCAGTTAGAGTTTTCATGGTTTACAACCAATAGCTGGGGAGTTTATGTTTTTGAGGTTAGTGTGATTTTTGTATTTATTAAAAGTTGAGATTAAGCGCAGTTAGTTTGCATGTTGAATTGCAAAAATATCAGTAATACTATGAGGAAGATTATTGCTTACTTTAAGGATTTACTCTATATTAACTTTGGTGGTTCCCTTAAATTTTTTTTATGAGGTAGTTATTCAGTAATTAAGTCCCATCTTTGGGAAACATTTCTAGTTCTTTGCACACACAGCGTACCAGTGAAAGTATGATTCTAAACACATTGTTGTAATAATAAGAACTTATTCATTCTTGATGGAGAGTTCTTTGGCAATGCCAATTTACCAATTTACGTGTACGTTTACAGTGTTTATAGGTGTTGTTACCGAAAAGTTTTCTTACTGTGGAATTTTTGCTGGCAATGCCATATTCCAAACCCTGAAACCTACAAGAAATCACCATCAAAACCACAATCAACATCATAACCAATTCCATAACCGTTATTGTAATAAGGATCTCAACGCATTTAACTGTTTTCCTAATTATTCATTATCTTAATCGTGGTAACTGTATAATCATAATCGTAATCATAATGGTAATGTTAATCATCACAGTCATCATCATCATCATGCTTGTAATCATCATCAGAAAAATACTTATTATATCCATTTTGAAATCACTAGTGATCCCTCCAGTCTGATTGGTTCTCAACAGTGTGATTTATTCACAAATCACACTAATTTTCGCTCTAAAACACATCTGTTCTAAATCGCATCATTGATTTGTTTTAAAATTGCACCATTTTTTTAATTCAATATCGCATCATTTCTGTTTCGAATACAAAATGCGATGTAAAAGCCTTTTTGCCCGCTTTTCAACAAACCGGGACAGGGTCCTAAATTGCGCCTTCCTGGTCGCCAATGCGACTAAAAATTTAGTCAGTTCTGGCGACCAGAATTTCATAGCTGGTCGCCAGCTAGCGACTTGTAAAGCAGGTTGTTATTGTGGACTTAAACGTTCGGAGAATTGAAACCTCGAAGCTATTTGCCAACAGGTGTCTTACTTTTTGTCCTGCTGATATTTTTTAATTAAAAGTGAAACGAAGCTTCCTGTAATAATACCTCCACAACAGCTACTATCAATACGAGTTGAACGTTTCCAAGCCGCCATTACGAGTAATGTGGCACAAAAAAATGTGACCTGGTACGAGCAACATGGCGGCTATGTTTCGTGGTTGTTTTGTAGATTGTTTCGTGGTAGTTATCGGAAGAAAATAGTTTTGATATGATCAGGTGCAGTCATGGGCAGACAGCTTTCTGTTCCTACGTTCTAGATCAGATGGCTTTACATGTATATCTCCAAAAAGTAATTTCTGGAAAAAATGAGACTTCACTCGTACACGTACGGTTTGTTTCTGGTATCGGGAGCTGAAGTATTGCCATTTTTGAGCACAAAAACGTCCATACCATGCATTTTTTATACGTGTTTAAAATTTTATTTGAAGAAAAGGGAAGGGGGAATTTTTGGCGACCACAATTTGCCCTCTGGCGACCAAAAATTTATACTTGATCGTCAGTTGGCGCTCGTATTAAAAAGTTATTTTCGGACCTTGCGGGAACTTGATCAATAAAATATTAATACTGAATGAATTTTGCGATTGCAATATGGCTTTAATAAAGTGGTAATTGTAAAAATCACGTTTTATTCGTCATAAGTGGTCAGTGGAGTAAGTTTCTGACCCTTCTAAGTAAAGGTCTTAGCTTTCAGGAATTGACAAGTGGAAAACGGAACTAAAGTGACCTTTAAACTCGGTGCTCTGTATTTCTACGTCAGGTGGTCGTTCCTAAGACGTTCAAGGCGATATTCTCCATGCCGCCGAGAGTGACAGAGATCGACCGGCTTGTCATCCGGGGACTACAGGAGAACCCTTTACTGGAAAAGGAGGTTTGTGTTTTTATATTAATTTACCAAATTGGCGGCTTCAAAAGTAACTTATCTCTTTCCTACTTCATCCTTCTAGTACAAAGACGCGATTAAAAGTGTTGTCCGTATTGCTGCTGGCGGTTTGCACGCGACGTCATGACAGACATGTTGGTGGTCAAGAACTGAAACATTTCTATCCTTTGGGAACTAAAGTCCATTTTCATGCAAATTCTTTGAAATAATTTTTATTTTATTGACCACCATGGCCGCCATAGTTGCAAACCAAGACTAAACTGGAAAAAGCGCCGCACGTACATGTAAGAGAAAAATATTTATAAGCACGGCAGATCCCCGAAGGCAGATTCTTCCCGCAATTATGCCGCGTTTTTTTTTATATTTTTGCTGAGATGCTAACTTGGCTGGTGTTGTCATTGCTGTTTGTGTTATAACTGGGGATCATTTTTACTCGCGTAGTCAGCAGCTATGCAAATTTCGTGATACGTTTTTGAGAAACTGCCCACCTACTCGTTTCCTAAGCCAATATTTTGCCCTAAGTGAGAAGTAAGTGTTAATGTTGGCTCAGGGGAGGGGTAGGTGAGCAGTTTCCCAGAAACGCATAATGATCCGACTTGGAGCAAAAGAAAGTTTTTCATGAGGAAAGAGTTCAATCCACTAAAGTTTTCTTTAATACACCAACAATGCCGCCGTTTCATTGTTTTGCACACGAGTGTGGCCACCGTGACGTCATATGACGGGGAACAGAAGCTTTAATAGGACAATTGCACGATGACGTCATTTTACTTCAACTTCCAGAATCCTTGAGTTTGTTGTTTTCTTGTGCAAATTAAGACTATTGCTCGTTAATCCTCAGCAGGATTGACAAATTTAAATAACAAAGCAACACCAAAATGAGTTCTGGTAGTTGTAGTCAAATATCGTGATCGTGCAATTGTCCTATTCTATCATATTCTTACTATGTTAGTGTTATCGTCTTCGAACAAAACAAAGAAGGAGTATTACTGTGTTGTTTCAAATGAGTTGTAAATAGGCATCCGAAAATTTGTATTCTTACGAAGATGTTCTTTTTAGCGTCGTAAACAAGCCGTAAGCGGAGGAATTACTTTGGCCAATCGAATGTGATTTAGCATAATTATCCAATTAACCAAACAAAACGCCAACCCAGTGTGTTCTTTCGTGTCGTTAATGGTTTATTTTTACCTTTTTATATTTTGATTTATTATTGCAGGAACTTTGGTCTCAGTCACGCTATGCCGTTTTTAGGAAGGTATTTAGCAAACACTAAATATTTCAAGAGCCGATCCGGGAATCTTTGACAAGGAGTCCAAAGTTATATTAAGTTTGAAAATGCTTGGCCTTGTTAACTAACTCTACTTTCCACGGCCGCTTACATGATGAAATCCTAGTAAACTGCATTTGAGGCAAAAACAAGCTTGAAAGTAACGCATTTTACAGCTCCAAATGAATGATTTGTTGTGGGTCCTTCCGTGTTACCAATTTCAGTTTGAAAGTGCTTAGCTAGTCAGTTGCTAAAACTGGAGAGGTAACCTGTGATCTTCACCTTTTCTTATAATATCCATGAATGGAAGAGTAACAATCGTGCTGATTATAAGAAAATCACTTTACGTATTATTTAAACTTTTGCTATTGTCGTTCTATGACCGCATTCTGATTTGCTTTAATTTATTCCTACATATAGAAGGCGCAAGGGTCTTAAGTTTAGCTCTTATTTTCTGGACTCTGAATTAGCACATGACGTATTTGTTTTGCTTCGACATTTCTGTTTCTTTTTCGTCTTCTTATCACTACATAACTACTAGAGACAAAAAAAGGAAACAGAAACCAAGGATAGAACTGGATTACAAGTTGTCCAAAGATTGAGGTTTCATGAGTTGAATGGTTACCCTGTGACTTTTGGTTAGACTCGTTATTTTCTATGAATTAACTTTTTCTCTCTCCTTTTTAAAATTTTCAACTTCAAGGTAACGGATTACGCGACTTCAGCGTTGTTGCATTATTACTCTGCGACTGATCCTGCCGCACAACTGCGAGGAGTCTGGGTGAGTCAGTTAATTACTGTTCATGCATGAACCACCTACAGACCAGCTAAAGCCCTGTTTGAATATGATCGCTTTGATCACTGAAAAAAAGGTTCAGCGATCTTAGCGATCATATGGAAAGCACTATTCAGCGATCAAAGCAATTATATGGAAACCACTCTCTAGTGATTGTAGCGGGCGAAGTGACAGCAAAAATACCAGGATGCAATGCGTACGCTCCCCCATTTCAAGATGGCACCACTACGAGTACCGAGAAATCATTAGCTTTGGCACTTTTTATGCAGGAAGTGCAAAAATACGAGTGCCTTAGTTTACAACAAATTTTTCCACAGAATATAGAGACGAGACAAGAAAAACAATTGTTGAGAAGCAACTGAGGAAAAACTCGACCTGAGTACCGATCAGGCAGAGAAGAACAATGTGCGCGGGACTTTTAAAGAAATCAGTGCCGTCTTGTTTTGGAAGAAAGGCGGTACCAGTATGGTGTTGAATTTGACGAACTGCGCGAACGATGTTGTCACACCTAGGTGCCCTCGATACTCAGTCAGCGATTGCAGTGCTTATATGGAAAAAAATGTCAAATTTCACAAAATGACATCTTACACATTAAATAATC